AGTATTAATTTATGTGTGGTGGTGGTTTAGTCACTAAGTCGTGTCTGACTCTTGTGATCCCGTGGACTGTAGCCCGCCAGGCTCCTCTGTCCATGGGATTCTCCAGGCAAGAACACTGGAGTAGGTTGCCATTTCCTTCTCCAGGGGATCTTCCTGACCCAGGAATTGAACCCAAGTCTCCTGCACTGCAGGCAGATTCTCTACCAACTGAGAGGTTAAGTCTGCCTTTCCAGTCATATATTGTGTTGGTCCACAAGACCTAAGCCTACTGACATGGAACTTGGACTTCTAGGCATGAAAGCTAAACATCTAAGCACAAACAATTGCCCTCCTGGTATAGAATGTACCCTTCAAACATGGAACCTGGCCCTCAAATGTGGGTTCTGAATTCCATCCCTGAAGACTCTCTCCAGATGTGAGCCTGCCTCTCTAGTTGTAAAATCTGGCACTCTGGGGTTGGAACCTCTACTTTCATATATGGGTCCTGACCCTTTAGGCATGGAATTAGGCCTTACAGTCATTTCACGGAAGCCTATGTGAAAGTGCTCTCTCCAAGCCTGGAACCTGGCCTTCTAGGTTAGAACCTGACCCTCGAGGCAAGTCATCTGGCCCGCTGAGCATGGAACTTAGTCACCCTGGCTTGGAATCTTCAATGCCAAGTATGGAGCCCAGAATTTTAGGCAGGTTACAAAGATACAAGGTCTTACATTCATAATAACTGATCTGTAGAAGTAGAATCTGGTTCTCTAAATAAGTAAGTAGGCCTAAAATGTGGGGGGGGGACCCCACAAAACCCTGAATTTCGGACTCTGGAAATTTAAATCTCAAAGTAGTTATTTGACTCTCCATTCACAAAACTGGAACCTGGCATTCCATATGTGGAATCTCAACCTCCAAACATGGTATGGAACCTTGCATTCCATGTGTGAATTTCAATGTCCAAACATGGAATATGGTCATACAAGGCTGGAATTCCAGGTATGGAATCTGGTTTCAGTCATAAAGTTTGTTTCTCCATGCATAAAAACTGCCCTACTAGGCCTACAATCTGGCACTCAAGATATAGAACCAAAGCTCCTATGTTCTATGTCAGGCCATGTGGACATGGAAGGAGGCCTTTCAAGCATGCCATAAATTACTAAAGTGAAAGGTGAAAGTCACTCAGTCATGTCCAACTCTTTGTGACTCCATGAACTGACTATACAGCCCATGAAATTCTCCAGAATATTGGAGTGGGTAGCCTATCTCTTCTCCAGAGGATCTTCCTGACTCAGGATTCGAACTGGGGTCTCTTGCATTGCAGGTAGATTCTTGACCAACTGAACTATCATGGAAGCCCACCATAAATTACTAAACTGTGTGATATCATTCACTCCCAGGTTTTAACCTGGCCTTCTGTGGCATTCAGGTAGAACTTGAATGTTATCTAGCCTACCGGGTATTGAACCTGGTCATCTAGGCCTTGAATCAAGTCTGGAATCTCAACCTCTGAGCATGGAGCCTTCACTACTAGCACTGAATTTGGCACTTTATGTATACAGAACACATGATGATTAATTTTTTGTGTTACCTGTCTGGTGCAGAGTGCCCAGATCAAAAATTACTTCTGGGTATGTCTCCGAGGTTATCTCCAGATGAATCCATGAATTTAGTTAAGCAGTTTGCCCTCCCTAATGTGAGTGGGCATCATCCAATCTGTTGAGGGCCTGAATATAATAAAAAGTGGAGGAAGGAGGAAGTCATCCCTTTCTCCTCAACTCACTACTTGAAATGGAAATTCTTATCTCTCCTCCTGTCCTCAGATTGGGATTTACACCTTTGGCTCCTTGGCTCTTGAACCTTCAGACTCAGACTGAATTATACCACTTAACTTTCTGGATCTCTAAATTATAGATGGTCAATCATGGGACTTCTTAACCTCCATAGTTGCATCAGCCAATTCCTCATAATAAATCTCCTCATATACATTTATGTTACATATAAGATTCTGTTTTCTGGTTCTGTTTCTCTGGACAGCCCTAATACAGATTTTAAAATCAAGTGTCTTCTAAAAAAACAGAATTTTCAGGATGAGTTTTCTAAACTGGTTCTGGGATTTCTAGAATTGACTCTCTGATCTGATAAGATTTAAAGATGCTAAAGACACTAATTACTGTATTTCCTGTAGTAAACAGAGTACTGATAGTCCACAGTGTGAAGAGTTTATAGAGATATGCAAAATATCTGCATATCTAATTAAGCATTTATAAGAAGCAAGGAGCTGGGTGACTCCATATATGATACTTATTCATTTTTGATTTTTATTGAAGTATAATTTATGTACAATATTATATTAATTTCAGCTATACAACCAAGTGGTTCAGTTATACATATGTATATACTTTTTCAGATTCTTTTCCATTACAGGTATTTACAAATTGAGTATAGTTCCTTGTGCTTTATAGCAGGTCCTTTTTGGTTATCTACTTTACATACAATAATGTGTATTTGTTAATCTCAGGTTCCTAATTTAGCCTTCTCCCTCCGCTTTCCCCTTCAGAAACCATAAGTTTGTTTACTCTGTCTGTGAGTCAGTTTCTGTTTTGTAAATAAGTTCATTTGATCATATTTTTAGATTCCACATATAAGTGATATCATATATTTGTCTTTGTCTGATTTACTTCACTGAGTATGATAGTCTCTAGGTCTATCCATGTTGCTGCAAATGGCATTATTTCATTCTTTTTTATAAGTGAGTAATATTTCATTGTATATATGTATCACATGTTCTTTATTCATCTGCTGATGGACATTTAAATTGCTTCAATGTCTTGGCTATTGTAAAGAGCACTGCTATGAACATTGGGGTGTGTGTAATCTTTTCAAATAAAAGTTTTTGTCTTTTCTGGATATGTGCTGAGGAGTGGGATTGCTGGATCATATCGTAACATTTTTAACTTGTTAAGGAACTTCCATGCTGTTCTCCATAGTGTCTGTACCAATTTACATTCCCGCCAACAGTAGAGAAGTGTTCCCTTTTCTTCACACCCTATCCAACATTAATTATTTATAGACTTTTTGATAATGGCCATTCTGACCAGTATGAGGTGATACCTCTTGTAGTTTTGACTTGTATTTTTCTAGTAATTAGCAACACTGAACATCTTTAACATGGCAATGATGTTGGCCATCTATATGTCCTTTTGAGAAATGTCTATTTAGGTCTTCTCCCCATTTTTAAAAAATTTTTTTTTTCATATTGAGTTGTACTAGTTGTCTGTATAGATTGGTTGCATCATTTACAAATATTTTATCCCATTATGTAGGTTGTCTTTTCATTTTGTTTATGATTTCCTTTGTTGTGCAAAGACATAAGATTGATTAGGTCCCATTTTTTTATTTTTGCATTTATTTCTTTCACCTTGTGAGAATGACCTAAGAAAATGTTATTACAATTTATGTCAGAGACTGTTTTGCCTATGTTCTCTTTGAGGAATTTATGGTGTCATGTCTTATATTTAAGTCTTTGAGCCATTTTTAATTTACTTTTGTGTATGGTATGAGGGAGTGTTCTTTTTTTTTTTTTTTTTTAAGGACAAAAGTGGGGTTTGTTTTTATTATAAAAGAAAAAAAAAAGTAACTCCTCAGGAATCTTACCAAAGGAAGGGAATAATTTCACACTCAGACACCAAGATACAAAATTACAACTGTTTGGACTCCAGACTTGTCCCATCTCCTCCAGAGCAGAGACCGGGAGGAGACAGCTGAGGCAAACAAGCAATTCTGTAAAACAAAGACTTAGAAACCCTACAAATAGGATTAAAATCTAAAATTCTGTTTTGTTTAAAAAAAAATCTTTTTTTTTAATATTATCAAAAGGCCTGCTTTAGTGACATGCTAGTCCCACCGGAAAATAACCCCAATACCCCCTTGTCAGTAACATGCTCAAGTTGACCAGCCAACTCATATTTCCAAACCCCTGTGTGTACAAGTCCATGTGTGTCTTTTAAACCTGGGGCTCAGGTGATGGCTACTGCTATCATGGGCTTCCACCTGTTAACCAACCAACATCAGCCTCCCCAGAAGTGCGAGCAGGGCAGAGAGAAGCCCTGAAGTGGTAGCGAGGGAATAATAGCCCCAAACAGCCAACTTTTCCAGCATAGCCTCCCCCATCCCCATGCCCACTCAAAAGGAGATCCTTATTTCTAACCAGACTACTTGTCTCAAATTTGGGTTCCCCGTAACCAGAGTGGCTTTTTCTCCCTAAAGAGAAAACACACATTTATCTGCACACCCATATATATAATTTTTTTGTTTTTACATTTAAGTAGAAAAATACTACTCTGCTTTGTGTTATAAATGGAGGACCACACAATAACTTTTTCTTTTAAGGTAGGGCTATCCATCTATTTATGCGGAGCCTGTCAGGGCGTTGAGCCCCAGGCAAGGGAAGCACCACACCAGATCTAGGGTGTTTTCCTACCTGACTTCCCACCCTTTCTTCCCCCCTATTTCTCACTTTTGATAGAAAGTTGGTTACAACCTTGTAAGTAATAGGACTTCCCACCAAGAAGGGAAATCCTAACCTAACCACAGAATCCAGCACTCCTGTCCCCCACTCAGTAACCACTCAGAAAAAGTCCTCCCCATCTCTTCACTATGACTGGGCTCTCTGTCCAGAGAGCTATGCCTATTGGGCAAACACACCTGATTAAATGGAAGCAGTAGTTATGTTTCCCCGCCCCCCCTCCCAAATAATGCACTAGGAAGCTTCAGTGATAGGAAAAAGAAAAGGGCAGGGGTAGGTAGGTGGTTGTGCAGTGATTAAGAACCTGACCCCTTCAATCCTGACCAAAGAAAACAAGAAATATTAACTGGGTGTGAGGAATTAAAAAAAAAAAACAGAAAAGAACCTCGATATTCCACCCTTTGAGTTATAGCTATTATGACATTGAGAGGGGTGAGAGTGGGAGTAAGATGTAGAATTAAGAGGGGTTTTGAGGGCTGCAAGTCTAGTCCACTTAGTTCTTGTATTGGAAGGGCTCGTCGCCGGTTTCGTTCAGAAGACATGTGCGGATGAGGGCTTCCGTCACGGCGAAGGGGTCACAGTTGGCAGATGGGCGACGATCTTCGAAGTAGCCCTTCTTCTCCTGGCCAACAGTTCGGGGGATGCGGATGCTAGCACCACGGTTGGCCACGCCAGCAGAGAAGTCGTTGATGTTGGAGGTTTCGTGGAATCCAGTTAGGCGCCGGGCATTGTCCAGGCCCCCTTTGGGATCGTAGGCTCGGATGTGGTACTGGTGCCGCTTGCTTAGTTTCTCAATGGCCTCCTCAATGTGCTTCAGACCATTCTCCTCTCGCATGGCCTTGGTGCTAAAGTTGGTGTGGCAGCCGGCACCATTCCAGTTCCCAGGAATGGGCTTAGGATCAAAGGTGGCGATCACTCCGAAGTCTTCACACACACGATGCAAGATGAAACGGGCCACCCAGAGATGATCGCCCATGTCAATTCCTTCACAGGGTCCTATCTGGAATTCCCACTGTGCAGGCATGACCTCAGCGTTCATGCCCCCGATCTTGATGCCAGCGTAAAAGCAGGCCTGGTAGTGAGCTTCCACAATATCCCTGCCGTAGGCCTTGTCTGCTCCCACACCACAGTAGTAGGGACCTTGGGGCCCAGGAAAGCCGTTGGAAGGCCAACCAAAGGGGTGCCCATCAGTGCCCATGAGGGTATATTCCTGCTCCATTCCAAACCAGGGGTGCTGGTTGCTCACCATGTCCATTATCCGTTTACAGGTGTGCCTTAAATTGGTCTCTGCAGGCTTTCGGTTGTACTTGAAGACTTCACAGAACACCAGCTTGCTGGGGTCCTTGTGGAAAGGGTCCCGAAACATGGCAGCAGGGACAAGATGCATGTCACTGTTGGACCCTTCAGACTGAAAAGTGCTAGAGCCATCAAAATTCCACTCAGGCAACTCTTCTACACATTTGGGTTCAGAATCCAAGGTTCGGGTCTTGCAGCGCAGTCCTTCTCCAGTACCGTCGATCCAGATGTACATAGCTTGGACTTTCTCACCCTGAGGTAGGGCCATGTACACCTGCTTGATGCCTTTGTTCAAGTGGGAGCTCGCCGAGGTGGCCATGGTGGAAGGTGTTCGGGTGGAGCAGGAATACGATGGCTCTTGAGTCGTCTTGATTTTGACTCGCGGTTTCTCTCCGGCGTTCACCGAGTAGGCGACGAAGCCGAAGCAGTTGGAGGGGGACCCCGAGGACCGAGACTCCAGGTCGTCTTCATCTTCGTTCGCGTTCTTCTTCCTGGATTTGCGGCCGGGGGAGCATCCCCGCTTCCCGCCCCTGGGCGCCGAGCAAAGCGGCAAGGCGAGCAGGCGGCGAGAGCGAGGTGAGGAAAAGAGGCGAGGAGGACGGGGAGGGGCTGCTCACACAGCCTACTCTTCTCCCATTCTCGGCTCTCTGGGAGAGTTCTAACTTCATTGATTTACATGTGGCTGTTCAGGTTTCCAAACACCACTTGCTAAAGAGACTGCCTTTTTCTCTTTGTCAAAGATTAAATGACCGTGTGTGGGTTTATTTTTGGGCTCTCCATTCTGTTCCATTCATCTCTATGTCTACTTTTGTGGCAGTACCATGCTGTTTTGATTACTGTAGCTTTGTAGAAATTGTCTGAAGTCTCTAGCTTTGTTTTTTTCCTCAGGATTGCTTTGGCAATTCTGGGTCTTTTGTGGTTCAATATAAATTTTGGGATTATTTCTTCTAGTATTGTGAAAAATGTTATGGGTAATTTAATAGGGATAACATTAAATCCATAGATTGCTTTGGGTAGTATGGCCATCTTAATATTAATTCTCCCAATTCAAGATCATGGGCTATTTTTCCATCATCTTTAATTTCCTTTATCAATATTTTATAGTTATCTCTGTATAAGTCTTTCACTTTCTTGATCAGGTTTATTCCTGGATATTTTATTTTTTTGATGTGACTTTAAATGAGATTTTTAAAATTTCCTGTTTCTAATATTTCCTTGTTAGTGTAAAGAAATGCAACAAATTTCTGTATGTTAATATTGTATCCTGCTACCTTGTTGAATTCATTTATCAGTTCTAATTGTTTTTGTGTGGAGTCTTTAGGATTTTATTTATAGAGTATCATGTTATCTGCTTATAATGACAGTTTCACCACTTATCTTCCTATTTGGATATATTTTATTTCTTTTTCTCATCTGGTTACTGTGGCTAGGACTTCCAATACTATATTGAATAGAAGTGGTAAGAGTGGGCAACCTTGTCTCATTCCAGAATTTAGTTGAGAATGCTTTCAACTTTTCACTGTTGAGTATTAGGTTGGCTGTGGGTTTGTCATAAATGGTTTTTACTGTGTTGAAATGTGTTCTCTATACCCACTTTGGTGGGAGGGTTTTTTTTTTTTAATCAAGAATGGATGTTGAATTTTATCAAATGTTTTTCCTGCACCTACTGAGATAATCATTTGATTTTTGTCTTTTCTTTTATTGATGTGGCATATATGATACTTTTGAACATTTTTTAAAAACTAAAGAATATAATTACATTGGTTGGCTGCTCTTAATGTTGCCGCATAGAGTAGTGAAAGAAAAGTTGAGCTCAGGGATTCAAATTCCCAGCTCAAGCATCATATAAATGACTGAAGAGCTTCTATATGTGCTCTCAAAGAGATCCTTATCTCCTGTAGCCACAGGACTGTAATTGCTGAAAATCAAGCTTGGAAAATCATCCTGGGGCTGGCTGAATTATAGTGTAAGTCAAACTCCCAATCTCACAGAATATCTACTGTTAAAGTGAAGGTTTTGGTTAGGAAGATATGGGATTGCATTAATTGTAATTGAAATTTATGGAAAGACTCTTATGAAGGTGAGGACATTGAACCCCTAAAGTTTGGTTTAACAGGCATGGGGCCTGGACTGCCAGGCACTCCATCTATAAAATCTTGACTTTGAGGCATTGGTTTACTTCTCATAGATGTAAATTTTCCCTTATGCATATAATCTTGTCCTCCAAATGAAACCTGGGCCTATAGACATGGAACTTGGGCTTATAGGTATGGAATCTGACTTTAGGCTTGAAAAGTGTTTCCTGATATGGATCCCACCTCCCCAGGCATAGAACCTGGCTCTCTGGTTGTGGAACCTGGGCTTCTATATGTATACTTTAGCCCTCTGTATATGGAATTAGGCCTTCTTTCTGGTCATGACATGAGGATACAACATCTCTTTCCAAGTTTGCTACTCAGCTTTCAGGGGGGTAAACCCAGAATCTCATGGAATGTCATTTAGCCCACAAATGAGACAATTCAGGCTCACAATGAAGTGATTTTTCCTGAGTTTAAACAATTGATTTTCACTAGCTTGAGGGCTGGAATCTAGGTCTGCTACTTTCCAGCCAATGCTCACCGTATAGAACAAGTTCTGCTTATTTTTCCTCTCTTCCTAAAGAAGAAAGAGAACTTGCAAGAGTCAGACTCTGCCCTGTCTGCCTCCATGCCCAGCCACACTGAACTTCATCACCTGCATTTCAGGCAAAGAGACAATCAGACAAGATGGTCACTGAGATCAGGCCAGCCCTGGCATTCTGTTCTCTGCTTCTGTTTTGTGATTTCTCTTCTAGGGGCTGCTTCTCCTTGTCTTCAAGCTGTGTGAAGCCCAATCAGTGCAGAGGGGTTATCTGAGCTGGGAGCTGGGAACTGGTCATCATCAGCTGGCCATCTGAGCAAGGAGCAACCAGAAGATTAGTTTTGACCTACCTTGACCCATCCTCCTGTTGTTTCCTCCATTATTTCAGGGAGGAAGGAAGGAAGATATTTTTTATTTGGTTGAAGTTTCCCAATCAACTCAGAAAATCAAATACCATTTTAAAAGACCTTTACTTTGGAAGTTAGCCTTGCGACTGCCTGGGGCACCTCACAATCCCCCTCTGTTCAAAGGCCTGACTTTGTTCTCCACTTTACACCTCTTGTCTGCACCTCTTCTTTCTGTTTGGATGGGACTGGTTGCCCAAGGGTTCCGATCTGGTTGCTGCCTGGATCTGAGCAGAGTAGGATGTTAAAGCCAGTAGACTAACCTAGGGATGGAGGAAATCTTTAGAGTATCTTCTATCGTTTCATTCAAGAGCCACCATTTTGAACTCTTTGCCCTTCCTCTATCTGAAAAATAAATATCTAGAAGTTTGTCTTGATTTTTCAATTTTAGACATTATATATTTATTTCCAGCCATGGTAGATGAGTCTTTCACACATTTAGGGATGCTGAGATCCTCTCTTCCATCTACCCAGTATAGTGTTTGGGTTTTTATGACCTTGAAATTCTGTTGACCCCAGAATATGTAGTATGTCTGATTACATTGTTTTTCTTTTCTAGATTTTCTCCATAGAGTTTCCACATTTCTTTCTTTTTTCTTACTCTGTTTGCTTTGATTCTCACCTCACCTCTTTCAAAAAAACTTTCACTTATTTAATAAACAGAATTTGCCGGGAGTCACAAATAGGTTCTTTGTATATGTGTGTGACTCATTTGATTGCTTTTTAAATTGAAGTATAGTTGATTTCAATGCTGTGTCAGTTTACAATGTTCTGTTAGATTCAGATATCTGAATCACTTTGCAGTATACCTGAAACTAACACAACTATGTATATTCTTTTTCAGATTCTTTTCTTTATAGATTATTATTAAGACATTGAGTATAGTTCTCTTTGCTGTACAGTAGGTCCTTGTTGGTTATATATTTTATATATAGTAGGGTGTATATTGGAGAAGGAAATGGCAACCCACTCCAGTATTCTTGCCTGGAGAATCCCATGGACAGAGGAGCCTGGCAGGCTGCAGTCCATGGGGTCACAAAAGTCAGACATGACTTAGCGACTAAACCACCACCACCAGGATGTATATATTAATTCCAAACTCCTAATTTATCTCCCCACTTCCCCACTGGTAACCATAAGTTTGTTTTCTATGTCTGTGATCCTATTTTTGTTTTTTAAAAAAGTTCATTTGTATCATTTTTTAGATCCCACGTATAAGCAGTATAATTTCATCTCATTTTCTTTTCCTCTCCAAATCTTCATCTCCTTACCTATTCTCTCAGGTGCCTTTCTTCTCAAGGGTCTTCCATGCAGAGTCCACTGCCAAGGAAACACTTTACTGTTTGAAAAACAGCCCTGCCTACTGATAGCCAGGGCTACTTGAGTGAATTCAATAAATCTTTATCATTTCTTTCCATAGTCATGTGTTGAAGGTTTACTATGTGACAGGCATTCATAATGCAGATATAAATAAAATATAGAGTAGTAAATGGCAACCTGCTCCAGTGTTCTTGCCTGGAAAATCCTGTGGACAGAGGACAATGGAGGGCTACAATCCATGAAGATGCAGAGAGTTGGACATTACTCCTCATGTCAAAGCAGTGACTTTATCTCTTTCTCTTGCCTGGGGTAGGGTCTCTCTTATACCCAGTACCCTCAGTAAATGTTTATTGAGTACATGATGGGGACCCATTTATCAGTCCCAATTTTGCTCATTTCACCCCTATTCTGCTCTCCTTAGGTCCCAGATAAGCTGCACCCCTAACAAAAGTCCTTTCTCCCAGAGCTATTTCCAAGGTTGTCTGAGTACTGGGAACTAGGAAAGGATGGTAAATGGAAGCCTGCACATCCATCCCATCTCCCCATCCATTAAGCCTAAGACAGTCCTTCTCTGAGCCTTTGTTTCACTGACTATAAAACCAGGAAGCAAAGTCTCCCTTCTCTTCTCCTTTGTGCAGTTTAGGGAAGGGTGAAAGTTCTTGGCCATGCAAAGCTGCATGAAGTATATTTGTTTACTCTTTAGGATTTAGCTTCAGCTCACATGTACTCTGCAATTAATTTTCAGTGACAAAGGGTATATGCATGCACCCCTTCTCTTGCCCTGAGGATGTCCGCACCTGCTCACTCAGGACAGGCTTTGCCCCCGCTGCCACCCTCCCTCCTCCGGTCTCTGGTTACCTGCCAGAACCATTTAATCTAACTCTCCATCTGGGCAATAGATTAAAAACCCCCACATAATGCAAAGGGCTGCTGCAGATGGCCGTGCACCTGGGACTTCCGTGTCCTGAGCCACAGA